GCCCCTTTGAGATAAAAGGAATCTTTGAACCAGGCTTCAAAAAAGTTTGTATTCTGATTAATTCATTGGCCGGCTGCATTCCTGTGGGAGGAATATCTAAAACCAACTATTGGGCAGCACATTGGCTAAATGGTTAGCACTTCCGCCTGGCAGTACTAGGGTAGTTGGTTCGAATCTCAGCCATGGCACCACCTGCCTGGAGTTTACATGTTCTCCCTGTGCCTGCATGGGTTTCCTCCGGGTACTCCGGTTTCCTCCGGTACTCCAAAAGACATGCTGGTGGGTTAATTGGCTCCTGTCTAAAGTGGCCCTAGTATGTGTATGTATGAATGTGAGTTAGGGACCTTATATTGTACGCCCCTTGAGGGTTAGGGACTGATGTTTATGTTCAATATATATGTAAAGCGCTGTGTAAATTGATGGTGCTATATAAGTACCTGAATGGGCAGCACAGGGGCTAAATGATTAGCACTTCCACCTGGCGGTACTGGGGTTGTTGGTTCAAATCTCAGCCATGGCACCTCCTGTCTGGAGTTTACATGTTCTCCCTGTGCCTGTGTGGGTTTCCTCTGGGTACTCTGGTTTCCTCCCACACTCCAAAGACATGCTGGTAGGTTAATTGGCTCCTGTCTAAATTGGCCCTAGTATGTGTATGTATGAATGTGAGTTAGGGACCTTATATTGTACACTCCTTGAGGGTTAGGGACTGAAGTGAATGTACAATATATATGTAAAGCACTGTGCAAATTGACAGCACTATATAAGTACCTGAAATTAATACATAAATAAATATTAGAGAGCAGCAAATGGTATAAAATTCTACAGAATGGTTTCTGAAACTCATGGTAGCCCTGATGGCTAATGAAATGATGGGGGCCAAAAAAACACCCTGAGACATTTCCTTTGCAAATTCTACCAGGGATACTTTAATAGAAAGGTGGGGCCTGGTGGGACATTGGCAGGTTGATGAGGTTGGGAGGGAAAACCCAGGAAAGGTGAAATGTAAGCAGAATAATCCTCAACTTAGATGTCATCTGAAATTTGGGAGCAGCTTTATCCACCATGGTACTTTGACCACTAAATGTATATGTGCAAGCTGTAAATAATTGTAAAACAGAGCAGTTTAATGCGTTGGCGATGCAAACAATGTAATCAGAGCATGTCCCATGTTAACACATACACCCAACACTGCGCTCATTCTATAGCGCAACAACACTTCTGGGACAGGATCTGATAATATTTAAACAAACGTGAAGCGGAATGTAATGTGTGCCAGATGTTTATGAATGAATTGGAGATCAAACCAACTATTTAATTAATCATTCTTAGCTCTGGCAAAATCCAGATGTTTTGTAAAAAAAAAAAAAAAAAAAAAAAACCCTCTACAACATACACATTGTGGATATTATTACGGGATGTGGGGGGGGGGGGGGGGGGGATTTTTCATGACAGAGAAGAGAGACCCAAACATTTGACTTTCAGCTGCCCCTTATTATGGAACCATATATGAAAAAACACAAGCTTATTTATGTAAAGTTTTGTTAACATTCATGCGTGAATATGTACTAAGTTCTAAAATATCACCTGAAATTTTTTTTTTGGAATGGTTAAAAGCCCTCTTTTTTATGTATGTTGGTAGAAAGTGAGAGAAAATATCTCCAAAGCAAGGAAAGTCTCCCTTAAGCTGGACATACCCCAGAATTTCATTCAAACGTCTGTATGGAAATTCTAAAAAATCTTTCATCAGGACATCCCATTTGCCCATCATTGAGTCAACTAATTTTGCTCAAAAGCCCATAAAATGTAATCCAAACCTCCTACGTCAGCCTTTCTCAACCTTTTAACATGGAGGATCACTTAAGCAGAACTTAACTCATTTTCAACTAGGGATCCTCCAAGGTTGGCTAAGGGTTCCTTGAGCTGTGGCCAACTGTCCTCCCATCTGAGGGTGCCTGCATAGTTCCAGATTCAATGTCACCTGTCAGAGAAAGCGGCATGAAAGCAAAGGTGTCAACCTGGCCATCCCTTAAAGGGCAGCATTCTTCAGATTTACCAACACCAACATAAGGGACATTTTCCCAATGACCCCTGATGGACTAATCTTACCAGGGGTTCCCTGAGATCTGAAAATTATTTCTAAGGTTCTTCTTCTTTGGAGGTGGAAAGGTTGAGAAAGGCTATAACTGTATCTGTGCACCACAAATGTCAAATGCGAGCAAACTCACCCATCCATCCATGTCATACATGTTTCCGTCCTTTATTTTGTTGGCAAATGACTTTAAAAAACACTCCCCTATCTCCGGTTATTCCTTTCCACCTTCTGAAGACCAAGCTGACATGGATTATGATGAATGAACGCCTGACGCCGATTCTTCAAGATAAGATGGCTCTTTTTGAATGAGTAAGGGACCCATGGCTTAGATACCTGTCAAGTTCAAGGTGATTTGGGACCGTCCATTTGCCTGGGCGGTGAGGGGGGTGCGCCTCAACTTTCTACTCCCCCCCCCCCCCCTTTTTTTTTTCTTATCTTTTCTTTCTCCCTCTCTTTTCCTTCTCTCTCTTGTCTTATTCCCACTTTTCTGTTTCCTTTTTCTTTCTCTCATTCCATATTTTCCTTAATTTTGGTTGTTGTTGAGTTCATTGTTGACATATCATTCCGTGAAGGGCCTTTCTGTACTGTCAGAATATTATTGCTGTGCCCTTTCTTATGTTGGTCACAGTGGAATGTGCCTATATGTCCTCATTGACGGAAATATTGCAATTTTTTTTTGTTGTTTTCCTCTTTTCCTCCCGTGTATCCTGGGAGGTGTTTGTATTGTATTTTATTAATATGAAAATAAAAATATATTGAAAGAGAAAAACACACCCCTAGCATTTCTCCCCAAACATTTCTAGCCACGACCATTATGAGTAAGGGCAGATGATTCATGTAGCATTTACTTCCTGGAATCTATCTTCTCTTAGCTCAGGCATGCAGGCAGGAGGATATGCTGAGAAATACCCTCTTCATCTCCTTCAGAAGAAAGAAAAAAAAATGTCCATAAAGACTCTGGGGATATATGACATAATTTTGGCCTAGGTTAGAAAATAGGAAGCAACTAAAGAAATGTAAAAAATTTTTTTTTTTAAGAATGACCATAAAAATGGGGAAGAAGTTTTCAGTAATGCACATCTGTCCAGTAGTAATGTAAAAAATCACCAGCAATGGTTCCAACATTCAGCACTAGATACTATTGGGCCCCTTTTAGTGTAAAATGTCAGTTAGCATTAAAACATCACAGGCAATGGTTACAAACACTCAGCAATGGGTACTAGTAGGCAGCGAAGGCAAAAGGGGTTCAACCCGGTACTAGCAAGGAGTACCTAATAAAGTGGCTGGTGAGTGTATCTCCAGGTTGTAGAGCAGCATAAGGTCTTGCAAAATTTAGACCAGACAATGCTAAACTGCATACTGCATCTATGACAACAGCATGGCTTCATAGTAGAAGAGTCTGGGTGCTTAACTGGCCTGCCTGCAGTCCAGACCTTTCACCAACTGAAAATATTTGGTCTCCTCAGTTCCCAGACGTTTACAGTGTGTTGTTAAAAGAAGAGGGGATGCTACACTGTAGTAAACATGGCCCTGCCCCAACAGTATTCTAAAATTATTCGACAATTTTTAGATGCCGGATCATGTGTCCACTGTGATTGGTTGTCACTGTGGTCACATGATTGGGAGCCACTTCCACCAGCTCGCAATCATTACTAGAGACCAGGAGCTGTCTATGACAGCCCTCAGCAGCTTGTCGGTGTTAAAGCCCATCCTCTTTGCTACCGTACATGCAGTATGTTCCTCTGCAGAGGGCAAAGGTATTTTTAATGGTTCTAACCCCTGCAAATGGGCCTAGACACGGAGCGGCAGCACATTTGCGTTCAGGTAAGAAAAAACATATGTGCTGAGAGCGCGTGCCCTGCGCGCTCCCAGCACACATGTCCGGTACTCACGGAAAGGTCCCGGTCTGTTCTTTCGATCGGGACCTTTCCCGATCATGTGACCGCCGCGACGACGCGTCTCGGTGGTCACATGATCCCTAAACCCCGCCCCGCCCATCCCGCCTCCCGGATTCTGCAACTCTTAGAGGGCCGGCGTGAAGGGGTTAAGGATGCAGTGGCATTAACTGTAAAGCACTCCTAAAGATGATGAAAATGGGTGTAAAAAAAAATTACCATTTTTTTCATAAAAATTAAAAACAGAAAAACATGAACTTCTTCCTTTCCATAAAACACAGCAGTCAAGGAAAGCCACTGTGGACTGGGCAGGAATGGGTTAGAAAACAGCAGTTGCGCTCCCCCCCGCTACACAACACTTTCTTATACCTGTGCTGAGCCGTGTCATCCTGGGACAGGAAGGGTGTTACTGGCAGGATCACCAGGTGAAACTAAAGAGAAAAAAGCTTCAAAAAAGAAAACTATTGCAGCTGCCGCATCTCACTTTCTAAACAATGGGTCAGTTTACTGTCCTTCAGGGCCGGTTCAGACCGAAATGCACACTTTCACATGTTTGCTTTTGTGTTTTCCTGCACTTCAATTCTATGGGCTGCCAAGCGTGCTGGAAATCAAAAAAAGTACGACAGGCGTAACTTTTTAGGCCTCTTGTACACGATACTGATGTTTGAGCACCAGCATTTCTGAAGGAATTCCAGGCACTGGTTTTGTGCATATTCGCACGCATTTTTGCGCTCATTTGCATGTATGCTCATTCGTGCGCACAATACATGCCTAGGCAAAATCCATTCATATTTAAGCTCACCGATGTAAATTACTGACCAGGAAAGCAATTTTTTTCTATTTTTTTCGAAATTCAAGAATATGCAGTGCTTGTGTACGTACCTGTTTGCACATGCACATTGTAAACATTGGGTTGCATTTTTATCACTTGCGTGCATCTAACAGGGGCAGTGAGTTCCCTGCAATGCAGGAAATGCGAACGGAAACGTGTTTCCTGCACCGTGGTTGGTTGAATTGTGGCCAGTGGGAGTAGAAATTGTCCTGGTATCAGTGGGGGTAAAGAGTGCCCTATCGTTGGTATAGTGCCCAATGGTGCCTCATCATTGGTATCAATGGGAGGAATAGTGCCCCATCATTGGTATCAGTGCCCCATCATTGGTGTCAGTGGGAGGAATAGTGTCCCATCATCCATGTCAGTGGGAGGAACAGTGCCCCATCATCCATGTCAGTGGGAGGAATAGTGTTCCATCATTGGTATCAATAGGAAGAATAGTGCCTCATTATTAGTATCAGTGGGAGGAATAGTGCCTCATGATTGGTATCAATGGGAGGAATAGTTCCCCATCATCCATGTCAGTGGGAGGAATAGTGCCCCATCATTGGTGTCAGTGGGAGGAATAGTGTCCTATCATTGGTATCAATAGGAGGAATAGTGCCCCATCATTGGTATCAATGGGAGATATAGTGCCCCATCATTGGTATCAATAGGAGGAATAGTGCCCCATCATTGGTATCAATGGGAGATATAGTGCCCCATCATTGGTATCAATGGGAGATATAGTGCCCCATCATTGGTATCAATGGGAGATATAGTGCCCCATCATTGGTATCAATAGAAGGAATAGTGCCCCATCATTGGTATCAGTGGGAGGAATAGTGCCTCATTAGTTAGTAGCAGTGGGAGGAATAGTGCCCCATCATTGGTATCAGTGGGAGGAATAGTGCCCCCCCATCATTGGTATCAGTGGGAGGAATAGTGCCCCATCATTGGTATCAGTGGGAGGAATAGTGCCCCATCATTGGTATTAGTGGGAGGAATAGTGCCCCATCATTGGTATCAGTGGGAGGAATAGTGGGAGGTCCCCATCATTGGTATCAATGGGAGATATAGTGCCCCATCATTGAGCACAGGTGTGTCAGAAGGGAGGAGTTTCTTCTGCTGTGAGGTGCTCCAGCTCCTGTGTGTGAGAGGGGAGTGTGGTGAAATCTTTCCCAGCTCTCCTGGCCCCTTCCTGGGTAAGCCATGGAGGCCAGCGGGGTTTCTCCTGCAGGGAGCTCGCAGCCATCCCCTGGGCTGACGGGTGACATGCCTGCCTCAGTACAAGCCGGGTCTGCTGATCTATCTGCCCCAGGTGAAGATGAAGGCGCGAAGTTCATTTGGGTGAGAGTGGTGGCCGTGATTAAGGTCCTGAATAAGGAGAGAGGCATTCTCTACAAACTAAGAGCAGAGTTTAAGCGACTGAAAAAGCAGTGTGAGAGTATGTATAGCCGGAACCGTGGATCCATGGATACTCAAGTCCAGTTGACTAAAGTCTGGGTGGAACACCAGGAAACCATTGTGGCCATGATGGAAGGGAGAGATGGGCCTTTCAAGGAGAAGTTTTCTAATGAGAGAAGGTTTGCAGAGGTGGAGGAGGAGACCCCCAGTTCTGACCCCCTGCCCCCTCAGGATGAGGTAAGCAGCCCTATGCCTTCTGAGGATGATCCAGTCAATGGAGTCTCTAATGCGGGGGAATCAGCTGGTGTTTGATGGTAAGGACATCCCTGATAATGTGCCTGATAAGGTAAAGCCTATCAAGCCCCAAACTGTGGATAAGACCGTCTTTGTACCATTTAACGCAGCAACTAATGCTGAACATTTGCCTAGTGACACCCAGCCTGGTAACCCCATGCCCAGCAATGCTTTGACTGATTGCGTTAGAAGTCAGCAAAATGTGCATTTAAAAAAAAAAAGAAAAGACATTTCTGCAGAGGGACTACAAGTTCCAGCAGAACCTGTTAACCCTTCTTTGGCCAAATACAAAGCTGCTTGCCCAGTCACAGCTGCTGAACAAGGCTCTATAGTGCAGCATCAGATGACCCGTTGTATTGCAGTGGAGACTGTGGCTGCACCTGATGAAAGGGTTAATGTCTGTGTGACTGACAATTCTGCCAGTGCAGGTGTGAAGGACAGTCCTACCAGCTCAGATCCATCTGTTAATATTAATGTGCAGACCAGTGTGGGGCCTTGGCCCTGATCAGCCTACCTTTGCTCAGATGGTAGGTTCTGCTCCTGGTAATGTTATCAAGCCAGGGCTGCAGTCGAAGGGGAACTCTGCTTCTAAGCAGGTTCTTCCCCAAAAAAAAACACAACTTTGAGTACCCCAGACTCGGGTCTAGGATCTCTGGCCTCTGCTGGGGGTCCAAGGCGAAATGCCATCATACTTAAATGGGAAGGTGGTGCAGTCCCTCCAGCAAGGCAAGTGGTGGTTGATTTGATCTTTGGGATGGGGTTCAGGGCAAATGACCTCTATACCCTCATTCATGTAGCTGGGAGGGAATGCACTATAAGCTTCACCAGGCCAGAGGGTCTTGACCTGTTTTGAGAGCGATATGAGGCTCCATGCGGGTCAAGCCCTGAATGGGAAGGTCTTGCACCAGTTGCTGTCTCACAGAGGTCAACCGTTAACAAAAAATAACCATCATCCTTAGTAATGAGTGTTCCTGCCTGGGACCTAGGTCCGGTTGAGACATTATGACAAAACCAGATAAAATTCATGAGGAACGCAACATCTGGACTAGGGGGTGGTCGGTGACAGTCAGGTTGCCAGGGATGGGAATGTTGTCTGTCACCTGCCCACCTCCGCTTTTATAGGGAGGGACAGGATGACTGTTTTCTATCCTGGTCAGCCAAAACTGTGTCACCAGTGTGGAGAAAAGGGGCACTTTAGCTCCTCCTGTTGAGCTTTGATATTTTCAATGTGTCGGGGTAAGGGTCATGTGGCCCAGGATTGCACCCAGATAAGGTGCAACCTGTGCCTACGCCTTGGTCACCCCTACAGCCTATGTCCTGAGGCTTGGCACAATATGGAGAAAGAGGTGATGGATGAACTGTAGAGGCTGGGCAGGATAGAGGGTGAGGCCCCTGGTGTAACATCCTCCTCTCCAGTGACTGACTCCCCTTGTTCTGTTCAGGATCCCTTCCCAGTTCCACTGGCCACCCCTCCTGTGTCTGTAAGTATTCCTTCTGTTCCTGTCTCTGTGTCCCCCCCCCCCCCAACCTACTGTACCTGCTCCTCTTGTGTCAGAACCTTCCAAATCTGTGCCCCCTGAGTCAGTTATCCTCTGTGATTCTTCTCCTCTCAAGTCTGACTTGAAGGAAGGTCCCCCCCCCCACCCTGAGTGGCAAAAATTGTGCTGCCATCTCTTCAGAACAGAAGTCTTCTGTGAAGAATTCTAAGGAAAAAAATTAAGAGATGAGAGCATCTCTGAGTCTGACTGGCAGTACCTAGAGGGGAGAAGGAAGGTTGTGAGGCAGAAGAGGCGGGTGGTGGGGACGGAACAAGGATGGGAAGCTCCAGTGCCTGTCTCCAACCGTTTTTCCAATTTATATATTTCCTCATCAGGCACTTCTTCTGAATGTAGTTCAGAATTTGAAATGGAGTTTGAGGAAGCCTCAAGAAAGAGAGAGGCTTCTGGTGATGAACAGTGGAGGGGAGCTAAGAAGCAATCCACCCAATAACCAAATGGCGGTTCCCCCTCCGCTAAAAGTGGCGACAATAAATGTCGCCAGCATTAAGTCGGTAAGAGCTTGTTCTATTGCCTTCTTTTTGTTCAGCCAATTAGATGATGAAATTTTATTTTTGCAAGAGACTAGGCTCACCTCACCTCCTTGGCAGATATTCATATGGACAAGAGAGAGTGGAGGTATAGTCCATCTTGCTGGTCTCTTCTGGCTGAGCCTTACATCGGTGTGGCGGTGTTGTTTAAAACTGGCATTGGTAACTGTCCGGCGGGTTATTGAAGTGGAGATTGGGAGATGTATGGTCTTAGACATCCTTGTGGGAGGGCAGGACCTGCACCTAATTAATCTTCATGGGGCGCACACAAAGTTGGACAGGAAATGCCTTTTTACAAGGATCAAGCCATTTCTTTTTACATCCCTGCAAGTGGTCTTTGGAGGTGACTTTAATACTGTGACTAGGCCCAAGGACAGGAAGGACTTCAAAGACAAGCTGAGATATGATAGTTTTTTTGAATAGTATGGTTAGGGATGCTGCTCTTGTGGATGTGCACATTAAGCACCTCCCAGACAACACAGGGTTCACCTTTCATCATGGTAATAGCGAAAGTAGGATAGATAGGTGTTTTTTTTTTTGTTTTTTTTTTTTTTAAAGGAGACCTCTGATTTCTCTCTCCCCCAGTGATGCAGGCAGTAGTGTTCTCTGATCACTGTATGCTAGCTGTGGTCTTGAATGCTTTAGACTCCCCTCAGAGGAGCAAGGGCATCTGGAGATTGAATTCGACTCTCCTTGAGGAAGAACACATCAGACAATTCTTTGAGGAATTCTTTCAGACACAGGTGACCATCCTGGACTTTTTTATAGCAGCAAAGCTGAGTGGTGGGAGCTAACCAAAAAGAGGATTACTGGATTCTTCAAGGGCCTAGCCAATAGAAAGCAGTTTGATAGACACATGACCTACCAAAGGTTACGGAGGAAGCTGGATATTCTTGTCTCGAGAGGAGGAGATCCTGGGGCAATCTCTGAGGTGAAACTCCTCCTCAGGAAGTGTCAATATGACTGGCATGCCTGTTTGGTTCTGGAAAGGGACTATGGGAAGTACCACTCGCCTGACCTTTACCAGAGCTGCAAACAATGTGTAGCAGTTAAGACGGTCGTTGGCCTTAAGGATAGTACAGGTTCCTTGACAAAGTCCAGGTCAGGGATCCTTGGGAGGAAAGAGCTTGATCGAAACAAGATGGAAGGCTTTTTGGACTCTACTCCAGATCTAAATGGTGGAGATGTTCCATTGATGAATTTGACAGAGGAGATCACAGTTGAAGAGGTGATGAGGGCAATTGAGCAGCTAGCCACCAAAACATCACCTGGACCGGATGGCTTGACGGCTGAGTTTTACAAAGCTTTCAAGTCTATTCTGGCCCCACATTTAGTAGAGATTTTAACAGCTGCCTCGCTGAGGCGACTCTTCCCCCTTCCATGAGGCACTCGGCTGTGATTCTTCTGTCAAAAGGTAAGGACCCTTCTATGATTGAGAATTAGCTCCCCATCAGCCTTCTCAATGTCGATAGGTGCTGCTGAAGATACTTTTCTGGCTCTTATCGTCAGTAGCAGAGTCTTTGCTTTCTCGCCATCGGCACTGTTCGGTCCAGGGTAGGAGCACCTTCACAGCGGTGTTTGCTGTCCGGGAGGCCCTGGAGCAGTGAAGGGCTGCAGGCTGGGGAAAGTATTTGCTGGCATTGGATCAGGCAAAGGCTTTTGATCGTGTCAACCATGACTACCTGTGGCTGCTCCTTAGCAAGTACGGTCTGCCAGGTGGTTTTGTCAATTGGTTAGAAGTCTTGTATAAGGGGGCGAAAAGCTTCCCTCTTGTTAATGGTTGGGCAGTCCTTTGAGGAATGAGGAAAGAACAAAGGCACATCAGTGGCTCTGAG